TATTTTGATGATTAATTAGTTACTCAGAGAAGAAAGGGTTTGCTGTGATTATTGACCTGTCGGCTTATTCTGATCAGGCATATGAGAAATTACATGAAAAGGAAATTTTCGTACCCCCACATTAGTTACTTAAGGGAAAGTAGTCTTCACGCAGGAACTAAAATTCCGTGCTCATCCCGCGAAGAGCGGATCATCGTAATAGTAGTAGCAACTTGATTGCCGTCACCACTGGCTGAATATCTTTCTGGCTGTATGCCAATACTTTTTGTTGCTTTGTGGGCGCTCGTATCTTTCGTCGATCATTACTTCAGGAACGGTGTTCTCTGTCCTCCTCTGCACGAGACGCGAGATCAAGGAGACAACCACCCGACTCGTCATCTTCATCGTCCTCGTCGTAGTCTTCATCAGCATCGTCTTCTTCATCTTCATGACCTCTTCCGGACCAATGATCTTCATCGTATTCTTCATTCACGGTTGCCGGGACTCTAATGATTGTACGCGGGGGCCGGAAACTGACGTTCGGTCGGCGGGGATGTTTGTTAATACTGTTCCACGCGCCTTGGGCCGTCGCTGGCTGTCGTGAGATAGTAGGGGTCCGTCGAGACGTTCCAGATGGTCCTGCTTGCGACGACCCTGCTTGCGAGTTCCTAGCGCCTGAGCTGGTGGAAAGTGAGCCAGAAGAACTGCCACTTGCCATGAGCCACTCGGGAACTTCAAGATGCGGAGGCGGAGGGGGCGCCGTGAGTGGTGCAGCAGACGGCTGAGTAGATGGCTGAGCAGATGGAGTAGCGAGTGGTTCTGTAGATCGAGCAACACCTGATGCGGTAGGAGGGGCGTTGGTAAAACAACCAGCAACGGACCCAGCAACTTGGGCAGTTAGGACCGGAAGAACGGTGGTAGTCGGTTTGGCATGTTTAGACGAACCGGAACTCTTGGTCGCCTTATCCACAAGCTTCTTCAACAGGGCCGATGGTGATTTACTGTCCTCAGCGAGCGATGTGCTTGATTCAGCTCTGGAACGTGATGGTGAGAAACGTCGGAGACCCAAGTTCCTGACAATGTTTGCATCCGATATGCTGCGGTCACGCAGGTCCCACTGACTGGGAGCCCTAACAGTCGTGTCTCTGCACACCTCATTAATGCTGCCCCATGCTCGTTCTTGAAGATGAGGTGCACAGTTGTAGCAGGCGCGATGGCTGCAAGGAGGGTAGACTGACGATTGTAGAAAGGGGCGGTCTTCGGAAAACTGGTCTGGATCGGTATTTGAGACGTCTTCGACAAAATCGACATGGGGATTCTCGTCGTCATCGTCATCGCCTATGCCATAGATGACTTCTGTCACAGGGAAAGCAACAAGATGTTCGGAGTGTTCTGCGGCAACTGTCTGCAGGACCCTAAGTTTCTGCCACATCAATATTCTCTTCTGTATTTCCGTGTAGTGACCAGCCTTGATGGCGTCGGATATCCAAGGACTGAGGACGGGGGCCTGGCCTGGATCCATGCGGTGGGAGAAGCCGGTGATGTCTACACCACAACGATAGAACCAACCGAGCGCCGGGACAAGGCCGCAGGACTCGCATGTCTCGTGCTTGTCAAGTGCATGCTCATGAACGACGACATCGTGTTTGCAATAGGGGTCACCGCAAGCTCTAGATTCGTCCTCATTCCACCCCGAGAACGGAGGGAAGAGACGGGGTCTGCCGTCCTCTCGACGAGCCACAAGGTTGAAAAACGGATCAACAACCGGTTCGAAGGTAGCATGCAGATCCCAGCTCACAGACGAAGGCTCGTTATTGGGGGGTGGGAGGAAGACTAGCTGAGAGGATGAGTCTGACCTTTCCGAAGGGCTCTCCTGACGTTCCTCCTCGTCCTCGGGTAATCTAGGAGACATGATTCTTCAAGTAGTTGAGTTTGACCAAGTGTGAGACAACGATGAAAATGATGATTCAAAGGATGCCTTCTGATGATGAAGACTTCCTGTGAGGAAAGGAAACACGTCTGAGTGTTCGTTGAGACATCGTGTGAGATGTGGACGTGTTAGGCCTCTTCACCACAGACCGGGTCCAAAGGGCTCGGCACTCAAACGCTTCAAACGAGCATTCGCAATGAGATGCTTGCCAGCACGGTAGCAGAAGCATTGTGAACGCTAGGTTAACATGCACTTGGCCTACAGATTGGGAGTGCCATAAAGGCAAGGCCTAGGGCTGTGATGAAGCATTCATCTCTATATAAGCAGCATTATATGAGCTACATTTTCTACCTGTGCAGTTGTTAGTGGATAGAGACTGTGCAGAGCAGATATAGAATCAGAAGAATACCCAAAATGAGTGATATATTGAAAATAAGCTGAATTATTTTCTGTTCCTGGCTGCACTCGGCGTGCACCTTTTGGGCCAGTGCCTTTCCTCTTAGGGTATAGACCATCAGGAAATACCGGATTTTCGAGATATGCCTGAAAAGCGATCATGATGAGACCAATACTATATATATATTCCAGATTCAGATAATGCCTGGAAAATGCAGAGAACATTAGCAAATATAGCGAGGCATCGGAAAGGTGGACATGGAAACCCTTAAGATAGATGCTTGCCCGCATGTCGGAGCTGACCGAAAGGCGGGCAGCCCGAGGTCCGGGTATTAAAGCGGCGACATTCGCCATTTGCCGATGAAGTGACCGACAGTGAAATTATTATTATTGTCTTTGATTATTGACTGCTTTCCTCCTCCACATTCCCAACAGCAATACTGTTAATCACTGCTATCTACTACTAACTAAATATCTATCTAACTATCTACTCACTCGCTAGTCGAATTGACTTGACTGGCAGTGTTTGGTGAAGTTAGAACTAGATTCCTGTCAGCTTAGGGCAGGTGTTGGTCCCTCCATTGAATTGATCCGTGGATTTACTATTATTATTGACTGGGTCTCTCTCACTGCTCTTATCCGCGTTGACCTTCCCCATATTGTCTGTGTTGCTGCATCTCATTTCAGACTCGCTCAGGAACTCTTCCGACCTCGGTAAGCTTTGGCTCATCCACCCGAACAAACCAGCCTCCTTCCTTTTCCCTTGACTCGTTCCCGTTCGTTCCTTAGCCTCGTTAAGTTACTAGTTGTTTTGGCTGGCGGGTTGCTGTTGCTGCCCATCAACAAATCATCCATCAGCCAACAATCTCATCTCCCTCTCCCCCCCTGCTCCTCCTTTTCCCTGCCGTTCTATGCGGGACAGCGCATCTTCCGTCGCCAACCCCATGTTTTCCACCTAATCTCAAATCTCACCTCACCTCTGTCTGTCTGTCTGTCCTACCTTCTTTCCCCAACCCAAAACCCACTTCATTCCTCTTCCTCTCGTTATCCATCTCCACCAAATCTCCATTGTGGTTCCCACCCCACTCCCTTGTCTGGCTTGGCTGACCGTGTCCCGTAATTTCCGTAGCTGCCGTCTTCGTGACTTTATCGTCTTCTGGCTCCCGTCCTTCTTAATTGACCATATCGCGCGCGCTTAATCTTCTTCTCTTTCCTCACCTTCAGCCTCACCCACACCCTCAACCACATCCACCAAATCAGCAAAAATGTCTGCCAAGTTCCAGGACGAGGCCGTCACCTCGATACGGGAGGATACAAAGGAATTGGTCCACAAGGTTGGAAACCGGTTGACTGGCGATGGCTATCTCGCTGTATGTTTTGCGCCTGTGTAGATGCGTGTTTACAGTCCACTGATTGAGACAATGCGCGTCCATTATAGCTCTACCTTCGCCAACTGCAGTCGAACCCCCTGCGCACCAAGATGTTGACCTCCGGTGTCCTGTCCAGTTTGCAAGAAATCCTGGCCTCGTGGATCGCCCATGATGTCAGCAAGCACGGTCACTACTTCAGCGCCCGCGTCCCCAAGATGGCCCTCTACGGAATGTTCATCAGCGCCCCGCTGGGCCACTTCCTCATTGGAATTCTGCAGCGGGTCTTCGCTGGCCGGACTAGCATCAAGGCCAAGATCCTGCAGATCCTTGCCAGCAACTTGTTGGTATGTTCGATCTGAATCTCCATTTTGACATGTGACTGGAATGCTGACGCGACGCAGGTCTCCCCCATCCAAAACGCCGTGTACCTGTGCTGCATGGCGGTCATCGCGGGCGCGCGCACCTTCCACCAGGTCCGCGCTACCGTGCGGGCCGGTTTCATGCCCGTCATGAAGGTCAGCTGGGTCACCTCGCCCATCGCGCTGGCCTTTGCCCAGAAGTTCCTCCCCGAGCACACCTGGGTGCCTTTCTTCAACATTGTCGGGTTCGTCATTGGAACCTACGTCAACACGCACACCAAGAAGAAGCGTCTTGAGGCTCTCCGCAAGGTAAATCAGCTACGTGACGATCCCGCCGACGCGACCAGTCGCTAACCTTAGCACGACAGCGCTACGACCAACGCCGTGGACCCGGTAGCGAGTACGACAAGGGCGACTACCGGTAAACGATGTAAATACACTGTATCTAGCTTATGACTACCGACAGGGCAGTGTGGACTTTCCAATAATGGTCAGTTAGAGCAGTCCGTTCACTCGGGTACGTCTCCCGAACCCGAGAGACTGCCGGAATGAGCGGCTGCCTCAGCCCAGCCACCTTATCGGAAAGTCCACCCTTTCCCTGTCATACATTTTATTACCCCCATGACATCCTAATCTGACCCGGATATACCTCTGATGATGGAGCTCTGGCGTCGAGATGAAGATATGCTTGCCCTGCCCCTGTTATGATGAATATGTTTTATCGATTTTCTATTCTCTTCTTCCTTGGCGACACCACCATGCTGCATACCTCTTCTGTCTATCACTGTCGCCATAGTTTCATACCTATAACAAAATACCAAGATTTAAAGATTCCCTACACCATCCCTGACCACCCCTCCACCTGTAATAGTAATAATAATCATAAACCCATCCCATTTATCTACCTAGCCGTCGTCGTAGACTACTAGTCAAATACCACATCAAGAATGATAGAATTCAAGAGACCTACTCAACCTCCATATCCTCCCCCCTCTTCTTCTGCACCCACTCCACAAAATCATCCAACGCCCCCGGCCACGCCCCATCCGCACTCCACCACCCAAAGTTCTCATCCTCCATCGTCTTCCGCATAAACACCTCCACCTGCTCCCACAGATCCTTATTCACAGGCCTTCCCCCCCTCTCCTGCAGGAACTCAATCCACCAATCCAACCACGGAGTCGACTCCGTGTTCCACTGCACCCCGCCATTCTGCGGCGTGAAGAACAGCCGCCATTGCTCCGCCGCGATCTCGAACTGCAGGTTCCGCTGGCCTTGCATGCGGCAGAGTGGGAAGGTGAAGCGGTACACCCGCCGGAAGAGGTCCGGTTGGATGGGGATGCGCGCGCGGATGTCCGCGGCGTGGGCGATCATTTTGTCGATGGTGTCGGATCTATATTTTTTTCACGTATATTAGTTTGTGTTTGGGGATGTATGTGTGGATATGGGAGGGGGTTATCTACCCAGTCATTCTCCAGCCGTTGATGAAGCCTTCGCGGGTGAATTCGCCCATTGAGGGGGATTTGAGCAGTTCGGCGATTCCTAGACATGTTACTTCGTCGAGGCCGACTTTGATGTCGCCGAGGTATTTCATCGCTCCTTCGATGCCGATCCCGTCGGGGTTGTCTTCTGGGGCATCTGGTGGAGGTTAGTTTGGGTTGTAATAAGGTGGTAGGGCAGGGCAGACGAACCTCGATAACTATCGAAGATTTTGCTCAGTGAGGATGTGCTACCGCCGGCGCCGGAGGAGCTTTGGAAGTATCTGGAGGTGAGGTTGGAATTAGCGACTGTTTGAGATCAGTGGGTTGAATCATATGTTGGTGGGTGTATGAAGCAGAAGATGTAGACAGTGCTAGAGTCGGTGGGACTCTGATGCATGCTCGGATTTTAACACGCAGGCTGGGTGGTCTCATGTGTAAATGTCCCGTTCTTTCTGCTTCTGTGCTAGGTATCCTGCAGAAGCAGAAATAGTTTGATCATTGAAATGATTGGGAGATAGACCTCAAGGCAGATTCTCTAAGCGCACGGATGCCAGGTAAAGTGTAGGTAAATCTGGCTGAACGATATCGATGTCGAAATCTGATAACAGACATACTACACGCTTGTGGAGGTCTCTTGTCTGAAGCTGCCGAAGAAAAAGCCTTTAGAGATGACAAAATCTCAATCGACAGTCGTTTTACTGCACATCGCATGCGACAGAATGGCTTCTGACGGCGTCAGATTTACGTCTTCAGCTGTACCGCCGGACGGCATGCGTTCATGGTTGAACAATGAGGTGTTTCAGGACAGCCTGCACCAACACCTAACAGTACCTTGATTCAGTCCCGCCGGACGAGGGATACAGACAGATGAGACGACGCCAGGCCTAACGTATTGAAATAACCAAGCGAGGTAGGTATAAGATGACCAGGTCCCTTGGACCGCGGCCACAAGAGTGGAAACGCGATAGCATAGCCAGGAAGTAAAAGAGAGGGAGAATAGAACACAAATTCATATACTCACGCATCAAGAGCTTGTTCCACATTCCAGCGAGAAGCTTTCAAGAACTATATGCATACGACAAGTCAGTCATGGAGGAACACGTGATGAGCGCAGATAAGACTGGTTGGGCGATATGGCATCTGCCGAGGGAAGGGCAAAAGAAGCAATGAGACAGTGTATACCTTTGCAGCTACTGCATCCTTGGCTTGGGTGAGGTTCACGAATTGCATTATACATTGCTTCTGAGCAGTAGAGTAAGGCGGCATGGTGGGGTGAGGCAGGCAGTGGCCTGCGGGGAAGATATTGGCTGATGGAGGGGGATGTAGGGACTCGTTAGGAAGCCAACGTGGGAGTGAAGATGTGGAATGTTGGTGGCTGTGAGCACACAGGCTGCAAGGTGAGGAAATATACAGAAGTGTTGTTAATCCGCTGCTCAAATGACTGGATGGGGAAACTTCACATCTCCGAATCGAGCTCGCTGAGTGAGAGGTGCCCGTGCACGTGCCCCGCATCTAATATTCTAACATTCTGCCAGCTTCACATCACATTTCCCAACACCACCACTCACGCCTGCCATTCGGTGTAATTGGCTTGCTACTTAATATGCTAGGAGATACAGCAATGTCTGTAACAGTTTAGTCTACTTTTATCATGCTACAGGTGTCCAGCAGAGCAAGATCACAGAAAATAATCATGAGATAATAGATGGATAAGGTGAATTGAGAAACACTTTTCTAAATGTACAGACAGACGACTCCAGAACTCCTGCGAGAATGCCCAGGTATCTAGTATGAATCTCCCATGTTCGATCCCGCGTATGCAAGGCTTTGGCTTAGGTCGTAAACAGAGTATCTTCCTAGGGGAAAGTTAGCAATTTGATACGGTGGATATGATACTTCATCAACTTACCTCTCTCAGGTACTCTCCAATATCTGCCTGACGGAACACCACGTTGGCTGTGGGCTCCAGTCTCCGGGTCTCAGCACTCGACCGGGCAGTCACACCGAATCCCTATTGTCCATCAGCCTTGGTTACCTCAATCCAGCCAAGGGTCTCTTACCAATGGCGTATCATTCATATCCATAACAATGACACCCGCATTCTCCGGGCAGTCCTCGCTGAATCTTCCGACGTGGGCCTTGGCCACGTTGGAGCCATAGAGGAACGGCATCACACCGTTCTGCTTGATCCACACCTTGTAGCGCGCATGGGGAGCGAGGACATCCAAAGCCGTAAGCTGGATTCTGAACTTTCCGGTCTTGGTGAACTTTCCGATGCAGGTTCCGAGGGTGAGGAGGTTGGCGCGAGGGATGCTGGTTGCGAGGTTCGCCAGGGAAAGTCTCAGGTAGTATACTCTGCTGCCGTGGAGACGGAAAACATAGCGGTCGTTGGCATCTTCGGAGGCAGAAGGAGGAGCGATCAGGTTGTTAAGACTCCTTCCAGTGTAATTGGCCAACTTCTCGAACAGAGTCCGGGTTTCCTCTATGCAGAAACGATATGAGAATCCATGCGCAAGAATCACAACAGACGGAGATGGTTGCACCTACCTTCGGTGAGTTGACGCATCTTGAAAGACTGTTTCAGTTCACTGCACTAGACGCGAAAACTGAATAGAATATAAACAAGCAGAAAAGCGCAGGAAGATTTCCAGACGCGATTGCGATGCAGCCTTTGTAAGTCGAAGCTCCGCGGGAACAAAAATTCTAGACAAGGTGGAGCGGCCGCCTTTAGCGTCCAGGTCTTGGCACCGCAGAAAAAAAGTTTCGGACAGTCAACCCGCGCAAACAACTTGCCGCTACCACACCCCAGAATATACCCCAGGCACCGCGAAATGGCTCCTGCACGTACGACTAAACGGAGACGGGTGAGCCCTCCTGGAGATGAGGAGCGTGGCTCCAAATCCTCCGGTGGTGCGTCTACCAGCGACTTCTACAGCAATGCCGCCGAGTGGGACCTCGAACAAGACTATGAGCAGCGCCCGCGCAAATTGGGCAAGAAGGACAAGGAACAAACGAGATTGCCTATCAAGACTGCGGAGGGTCTACAAAATGTGGCGGAACCAGAACCTGAGGCAGAGGCTGAAGACTCCGACAGCTTTCTGGGTACCGATGACGACGAGGATATGGAGGGTGCGGATTCCGATGAAGATGAGGAAGAGGTTGAAGAAGAGAAGCCGAAAATCCCATTGAAGCTGCAAATTATCCAGACCAAGGAGGAACTTGCCCGACTTGCTACGTTAATCAACGAAGATCCGGAAGAGAACATGCCGCTATTCAAGACAATGGCCGAAATCATGGAGAGGGGAGAGCATGTTGCGATCAAGAAACTGGCCTTGGCCGCCCAGGCCGCAGTGTACAAGGACGTTATTCCTGGCTACCGAATTCGACCCCTCGGCGACGAAGACTTGTCCGCGAAAATCTCCAAGGAAGTGCGCAAGCTACGGACATTCGAACAATCCCTCCTTTCGAACTACAAGCATTACGTCCAGAAGCTGGTGGATCTCACGAAACCAGCCAAGAAGGACGGCCCCCAGGTGGACCCTGGCCTCAAGAGCATTGCGATCAACTGCGCCTGCAACCTTCTCCTTTCCGTGGCGCATTTCAACTTCCGTAGCGAGCTCTTGAAGATTCTCGTCAACCGCCTCGCCCGGAAACAAGTCGATGCCGATTTCGTCAAATGTCGGGAGACGATGGAGGAGGTTTTCATAAGGGACGAGGACGGAGTTGTATCCCTCGAGGCTGTCCGTCTGCTGTCGAAGATGATGAAGGCGAAGGAATTCCGCATCAACGAGACCGTCCTGGATACCTTCCTCCACCTCCGTCTGCTGTCCGAATTCTCCCGCAAGGCGTCAAGAGACAGAATCGATCGCGAAGAAGAAGAGGAGACCCCGCAATTCGGCAAGAAGCCCAAGCAGAAGCGCGAGTTCCGCACCAAGCGGGAACGCAAGGTCCAGAAGGAGCGCAAAGCAGTCGAGAAGGACATGAAGGAGGCCGACGCCCTGGTCTCCCACGAGGAGAGAGACAAGAACCAGGCAGAGACGCTGAAGCTCGTCTTCGGCGTCTACTTCCGAATCCTCAAGCTCCGCATCCCCAAGCTCATGGGCCCCGTCCTCGAAGGTCTGGCCAAGTACGCCCACTTGATCAACCAGGACTTCTTCGGTGACTTGCTGGAAGCACTCAAGGACCTGATCGGCCACGCCGATCGAGCCGAGGAGGAAGAAGAGGAAGAGGAGACAGACGAAACCAATGAAGCGGAGCCAGCCACGACCCGCGACGCCCAGCGCGAAGCCCTCCTCTGTACCGTCACAGCCTTTGCCCTCCTGGAAGGACAAGACGCCAGCAAAGCCGCCAGCACACTCCACCTGGACCTGAGTTTCTTCGTAAAACACCTCTACCGCTCGCTCTACAACCTCTCCATCAACCCCGACGTCGAATTCAACCCCGACAAATCCCTCCGCCTCCCTGACCCTAACTCTCCCGAAGCAAACCCGGCCTACCGATCCAGGAAGAAGGTCAACTTCCAAACGCCCATGGTGCTGCTCCTTCGCTGCTTGCAATCTACTCTTATTTCCCGCGCACACGGAATGCCCCCTCCCGTCCGCCTAGGCTCTTTCTCCAAGCGCCTGATGACATCCTCGCTCCAGCTGCCCGAGAAGTCCGCCCTCGCGACACTCTCGCTCATGAACCAGGTGGCCAAGCATAATGCACGTCGCATCTCCTCGCTCTGGCACAGTGACGAGCGCAAGGGAGACGGTGTGTTCAATGCGTACGCTACCGATATCGAGGCGACTAATGTCTTCGCGGGCACGATCTGGGAGGGAGAGTTGTTGCGCCAGCATTACTGTCCTCAGGTTCGGGATGCTGCGTTGGATGTAGAGAAGATGATTGCGACGCGGAAATAGAGTCATTGTTTTAATTAGCGGGTCAAATTTATCTATCTTACGCCTTTCCCTTACTACTATTTCGCATCACATTATGAATCTTTTTTTATTCATTATCATTATCTTTATCTTTTCACCATTCCCATAGAGTATCCGATACCCGGTAAACTGAAACAAATGAGAAACTCAGAGAACTCCCTTTTTTCCTTTTAACTTCCTTTTCCGAACTCCGAATCCATAAATATGCCCTTAAAACACCCATTGACACCTCACCTCAATCCCATCAATAATCTCATAATACCCGCTCAATTGGCTGTCAATGAGAAAAAAAGAAACATACCATCGCTCGTCATGATAAATCTCAATAAAACATAAAGGCATGACATCGTCCACCTCATAAGTAAAAGAAAACAAAGAAAGCAATTGAGACTTGACTGACAATCAACCAGCCAGCCAGCCAGCCATTCCACTATCATCAATCATACTTTCACCAACCCATCACTATGAATTCCTACTCATCGACCCTCTCCAACGTCCCACTCCGATGTCTTCCCGACCCCTCTCTCTTCCGTCCAAGACTAACAGTAGTAGTGGTTGTATTCGAAGAAATCAGCTCAAGCGGAAGCGGAGGCGGACGACGAGGTCTGGGAGGAGGACCACCAGTACGACTACCAGTACTACCCTGCGAAGGCGAGAGCCCGACAGGAGTAGTATTAGTGGTAGTAGAACCAATTGAGCCAGACGCAGTCGAGGCAGGAACAGGATGTCTGAAAATCGGGTACGGGTTATCGAAGCCCTGCTGCTGCTGGGGAGTTGAGTTCAAGCTGCGAGACGGCACAGCAGGCAGCCTATTCTTGTACACATCTGGAAGAGGCCAGCCGTGCAGAGTAGGAGGTGAGGAGGAGGTACTCTCAGGAGTAGAAGTGCCAGCACCGCCGATTGAAGAGTGAGATTTCGATAGCTTGAGCACGCCGGGACGTCGAGCAGGCGTGGGACTTGGAGTCGTCAGCATGGCCAGCTGGTGCTTCTCGAGACGGATGCGTTCGAGATCGCGCTCGGCGAGGATTTTGCTTTGCTCGGGGGTGCGTAGGACTGGATGGATGGTGCTGGGGTCCGGGCTTGGATCGTGGCTGGGATTGGGAGTGGTAAGCTTGTCTTGTGCCTTGTTGTTGTCGACAGGTTGAGGTTTGTTCTCCTGCGTGCGGCTGGCGTTATTGTCACTGTCACGGTGACGAAGTAGGTTGAAGAAGCTGCGTTTAGGTGCAGGTTTGTCCATCTTGGCTTGTGCAGCAGATGTGAGTAAGGCTTCGGCTTGTTCTATTGCTGGCACGAGCAGGTCTGGCAGATCGAGGAAAGTAGATGCTTTGGGAGTGGGGGATCCTGAAGTGTCCTCGTAGTCATCTTTCCAGGCAACTCGCTTTTCAGTGATTTGGTGCTGATGGTCTCTGACGCTCAGGTAAGCGGAGGACGAGCTATTCACAAGATTGGCACTGCGTAACACGCTGGACGGGGCTGCTTGTTTTCTTTCTTTATTCTCCTCTTGCTCGTTCTTCTTCTTCCTCTCACCATACTTCTCATCTTCTTTTCTTGGCAGCAACTTGTCCCTCCCATCATCCTGCGCGCTCAAGTCTCGGTTCACCATCAAAGGAATCGACGGGCCCTGCAGCCCAGCACGGGGGTTCAAGATGCCCTCAGATGCTGGGTTGCCAGGGCCAAGCTTACCCTCCTCTTGGAGGTCGTACCTGAGCTTGCCAATTTCCTCGTGGATTGCAGTGATGATTTTCGACTTGATGACGCGCACTTCGCGTCGCAGCGTGTCGATATGAGCCCTGACATCCGCAACGGCCGTCTGTGCCTCCTTCAGTAGCTCAGTCTGAGCAGCCGCTTTCTTGTTGATGGCCTGAGCTAGGTCAACCATCGTGTCCACATGGCGAAGAACTTGGTCCATGTGCCAGGCATTCTTGTCCTCGAACGTCTTGACGAGTTTACTGGCCGCATGCTGCACGTGGAAATGGAGCTGCTCTACGTGCGAAGCAAGTTGCTCCTCCAGCGCTGCCGTGTTTTGATAACTTGGGTCTGGCGGCGTAGGGGCGAAGCCACCCCGACCAGTGGAACCCAGAAGCTGCGCTCTATCGACGGGGACCTGATTGGTAACGTATTCGCTAGACGAGCCTTCAGGACCGGCGTGGAATGTCGACGCAGGAGACGCCAATGCCGACAGACGGGTGTCGGAACCTTTCTTGACGGACGAGTCACTGTCCCGGGTTGGCGTGAGCGAAATGACTTCCTTTATGCTGGTCACCCCGTGATCGCGACGTGGCAGATCGGACGTTCTATCAGACAAGATCGTCTCATACACCGATGGGGAGTACGTGCGTGCAGCTTCGCTCTCGCGGACCGTGGATGCCGCACTCTTGGGAGACGCTGGCTCAGCTGCATAACTGCATGCGCGTTGAGGTGTACTGACGACCTCTGGCAGCCTGCTATTTCTGAACTCTCCTGTACGGGCAGCTGGTGACGATCCGCTCAGGAGAACGGCATCGAGCAGAGTCGAAGTATGTCCCTCTTCCGCTTCATTGCTGTGGATGAGCGAGTGTTTGAATCTAGCGCCTTCACCACCACCACCATCCTTCATGGGCGTACGCACAGAAGAATCCGACGCCTTATCGAAATCCTTCAAACAATCATCCAACCGAATCACACTTGACTTCCGTGACAGCGATGATGACCCCGAACCCACCTCCATCACCCTTGGTCTGGGAGTGTACAGCCTCTCGACTTCGAAATTGTTCCCCTTTGCAGCGAAAGAATCTAAAGAAGAAGAATCATCCCGGAGGATAGTGATTTTCGGCATCGTACTTGCCGGTGGGACCTCCTTGCGAAACTCCTTCTTTAGATCCTTGAAGCTGAGCTTGGCCTTGAGCGCCTTGAAGGTTGATTTCTTTTCCGACTTTTTCTCACCAGTCGCTGATGTTGATGCTGCCGCCGCTGTTAAACGACCCGGTTCAGTGAACGAGCGTTTCTTAGCAATGCTTCTGCTCCAGAGACCTCCACTCCCGCTTCCACTGGTAGGCAAGCTAGGGGGAGTGTCGTTTACGATCGAGTTGGCTCGAGCAGTGCGAGGATTTGGCATTGGTAGAGCGAGGTCGGAGTCGAAGTCCAATTTGCCTAGTTCTGGCGAGATCGTTTTAACTGTTTCTTTTTGTCAGCTTTCTTTCTTTATTCCTTTCTTTTCCTTGCAGTATGAGATGAAGAAAAGAAGCACACATACCACTTTTCATCGAGGAAAGACTACCCTGCTCAGTATCACCGCTCAATCTCATCTGTTCTCTCTCCTTGGCCCGTCGCAGAGCCCACGCATTTCCCTCATTGACCGACATGATGAAGAAGCAGTATGCTAGCATGGTTAGCTGTGTCTTTTTACTTACTTCTCACTTTATTTCCTTCTGTATGATTTCAAGTTCCCCAGGATAAATCAGAACTCACCAGCTTAATCAAATCCAATCAATGGATGGAACCGGGCTCTGTATCTAGCACAGTGTGAGCAATCTGACTCCTCAATCCTAGCAGGCACAATATCTGAATCACAAGAATAAGAAGAAGATAACACTCTACCTTTCCCAACCAAACCAACTTAACTCAACTCAACTCAAAGATTAGGCTCCTTCCCCTCCCTATCCCTAACCTTCTGATTCTCCCGTTCACGCAGACGCTGCCAAAGCTGAGCGGAACGAAAAAGGATCAAAAGGAACGTGGCACGGTAAATCACAGCAGGACGCATTGACGACTAAGCTGTGAGCAAAAGGGGATCAATCAATCTTGAATGATGTGATGTGCGTGCGTACGTACGTATCTACGACTAAGCAAAGCAAAGCACAGCACTGCACAGCGTAACGTTAGTAGTGGTAGTAGTAAGTTCTGTCCGTATCTGGATTCGTGATGATGGCGTATCGTGAAGATGAAAATCGAAACGAGACGCGACAAAACGCAACACAACACGAAGATGGATGGATGGATGGATGATACGAGATGAGGAAACGAGGAGTGAGTCGGTAAACAACATTTTCTACTAGATGTATGCAGTTGTGTTTTGTCTGTATGCATGTTTGCATGTTATGTGGGTGCTGGTGTTACTTGTTTCTACTGCTGTGGGTTTGGAGGGGATATGTGTGGTTGATAGGGGTAGTGAATGAGTGCTGGACCAGGGTGCTTCTGTATGAGTGTGAGGATTATCTACTTGATATCGCTGATGAGATTAGGGGAGGGTGGCTGGGAGGGATATGACGGTGGTGAATTCGTGTGAATCTTTGTTTCTGCTATGTGCTCTGTAGGGTTGTAGGTTTGGTGGTGGATGTGAGGTCTGAGATGTGCTGGAGGAATGGGTTAAGGGATATGGATGTGGCTATCTGTATAAAAGCTTATATTCGAGATTAGGCTTGTAGTTGAATGCTCAGAGGTTACGAGAGTTATATCTTGTGTCTGATGATGTAAATATTAGGGTTCGGGGATGGAGCAATTACAACGCATGCTTGAGTTTCTCGGTTGTCTTGATGAGGTGGTCTAATCTTGAGCATGATGTGAGAGTGGTGTTTTTAGGTAGAACGAGGTTCTTTCTCGAGAGTCTACTGTTTTCCAACGTAAATCAGGGTGCTGGGGAGATATTTCAAAGGAGTATTGTGTTTATTGGAGATTCCTACGATGGAGAAGCCCTCAGCATACAGACACCGAGCAACAACCAACCTTTATAGGCTAAGTTTAGGACAAATGAAGGCCAGGTCCTACTAAATGTCTACTAGCTAAAAAGGATTCTCAAAGTATTTCTAAAATCATATCATTATATCATATCATCATGCACATCATTACATACTGGCAGAAAACTGCAACAGAACTACTACCAATCTGACAAAAGGAATGAACGATTAAAAATGCGGAATCAATAATTCAGACAATTTGAGAGGAGAGCGAAACAGCTCGACAGCAGAATACCAAATACAGGGGAATCGATGGATAAACTGGTGGGCGCGCAAACTCGGCAACTTCGAACAATCATCGGGTATATGCATGCCAAACAAATGCTAGCAATGGTGCAGCAAAAACGCTCATCAAGAACAGATTCCTGAACCATATTAGCTTTGGCAACCACAATCATGAACAATAAACGTCTCGGTCTTCAACACCCGACACGAATCTACTGGTTGTTTCTTCCACGGCGACGGAACGGCGAGAAAATAGCCCCAAAGAAATTGGTGAACACAGCCCGAAGGATGGTCTTAAACCAGCTGTCATGTTTACGGTTCAGAGAAACAGCTGTGACTGACCGGTTTTGACTTTGGGCACGATCTTCCTCGTCGCCCTTGGTGGCAACTGCCTTGTCGGCGGCATTCTCGGACTGCGCGGCGGGCTCGGTGGCGGGCTGGGGCTCGGAAGCCTTCTTGGTCTGGTCTTCGGCATCGTCTTCGACATGGGGCTGTTGGGTGGATGCAGAAGGCTGCTCGGTAGAAGGTGCCTCGGTAACTGCTGTGATAGGGTCAACTCCATATTCGGTAATTTCCAGCTGATTCGCTGCAGGACTTGAGAGGTGCTTACGCTCGGTAGGCTTGTTTTCGGCGACGACTGCCTTATCTGCGCTCTCAGGCTGGACGGGAACTTGCTTGGACTCAACGTGCTCAGGAACAGCTTCGTGTTCCTTGTGAGTGGCCGCATACACTCCGGCGGTAATAGCAGCACCGGCAGCAACAGTAGCAACACCTGCGCCAAGAACCTCAGGGCTAAAGATGCTATCCTTGGCAGACTCCTCAGGAGCGGCCTCCTTGGCCGTCTCAGGAATAGGCTCTTCGTGTGCTGTCACAATGTTGGCCTCGACAGGAGCCTCCACCTCGGTAGGCACAGGCACTTCCTTGGCTTGAGGCTCAGCCGGGGCCGGCTCACTGACGGTTTCAACCTGGACAGGTTCCTCCTTCTCGACACTAACAGCCTCAGCAACTTCGGCCTTCGGGGCTTCCTCGGTAGCAACAGGCTCGACGATAGTCTCAACTGCAGCCGGCTCATCCTTGGGCGCATGCACCGGCTCGGTAACCTGTTCCTCAACCTGTGCGACAGCTTCCTCCGCAGCCTTCTGCTCCTGTGCCTCTTCGGCCTTGGCCGTTTCTTCGTGGGTCTCAGGGACAGGCTCTGCGGCAGCAACCTCCTTCTCAACCGGAGCCTCAGTAGCTTCAACGGTTGCGGCCTCAACAACCGGTTCGGTAGCAACGGGCTCCTGAACAGCTGGCTCAGCAACCTTGTCGACAATCTCCGCCGCCGCGACTGCTGCAACTGCCGCAACAGCAGCCTCAGCAACGGCCTCCTTCTCAGAGTGCTCGGTGACCGACTCAGCTGCCGCTTGTTCTTGGGCAACTTCCGCAACCGGCTCCTCAGCAGTCTCCTTTTCGGCCTCATGAGTAACAGGCGCCTCGACAGCAGGTTCCTCGATGGCAACCTCCTCGACGGCTTCCTTGGCGACGGGTTCTTCGGTAACAGGTTCCGTGGCGGCAGCCTCCTCAACGACAACCTCCTTCACAGCAGGCTCCTCAACAGCAGGTTCCTCGACAGCCTCCTTGACAGGTTCCTCGACCGCAGGCTCTTCGACGACAGGCTCAGTGGCAGCAGGCTCATCAACGACGAGCTCCTTCGAAACAGGCTGCTCGACGGCAGGCTCCTCAACAACAGCCTCCTTAACAGGTTCCTCAACAGCAGGCTCTTCGACAACAGGCTGCGTGGCGGCAGGCTCTTCAGCGACAGCCTCCTTGACAGTTTCCCCGACGGCAGGTTCCTCGACAACAGGTTCCTCGACAGCAGGCTCCTCGACAAGCTCTTCGGTGACTGGCTCGGCTTCCTTGGTCGACTGGTTGTCAAAAACGATCTCATCTCCAGCAGTCGTAGCGACAGTAGACTCAGCCAAGTTGGAGGACTCGTCCGTCGACTCGTCCGCGACGGTGTCCTCAATGGGCTCCTCGGTCTGCTGGGATTCTTGCACAGTAGGCTCCTCCGCGGTAGGCTCCTTAGTAGATTCCTCGGGAAGGGATTCTTCAGGCTTGGTCTCCGCGACGACTTCCTCCTTCACCGGCTCTTCAGCAGCCGGAGCGTCAGCTGCGTGCTCAGGCTCTTCAGCAACCGCCTCCTTGGTCTCTTCAGCAGCGACCTCAGCAGTCTCCTGCGACTCGGGGACTGCGGGAGCAGCTTCTTCATGAGCAGGCTCCTGGGGAGCCGGGACTTCCTCCTTCACAGTCTCTTCATGTGCAACCGTCACTTCAGGCTCGTCTTCCTTGACGGGTTCTTCTTCCTGAACTGTCTTCTCGGCCACAGGTTCCTCGACAACCGGCTCTTCAACAGCCGGTTGCTCGACAACTTCCTCGGCCTGGGTCTCCTGAGCAGTCTGTTCGACGACAGGCTCCGATGCGGATTCCTCGGTCTGCGTGGTGGCTTCAGGGGCGGGCTCCTCGACAACAGGCTTCTCAGCAGCCGGCTCCTCATCAGCTGGCTGGGCAGATACCTCGGCCTCTGTAGCGGTGGCTTCAGCAGCAGGCTCCTGAGCAGGCTCTTCAACAACATCCTTGGCTGAAGTCTCCGTGGCCGGTTCCTCAACAGCAGGCTGGGCGGTCTCTTCAACAGTCTCCGAAGCGACGGTCTCAGCAGCAGGCTCTTCCGCAACTGCCTCAGCCACTACTTCCTCCGCAGCAGTCTCCTTGGGAGAATCCTCAGCCGTCTCTGGAACGGAAGCCTCGACAGCAGGTTCTTCTGCGGCAGGCTTCTCAGCCACCGGTTCTTCAACAGCCGAGTCAACCTTAACAGCTTCTTCAGCCACCTCCGTGGTCGAAGTCTCGACAGGTGCCTCTTCCGCAACAGTTTCAGTCGCTACCTCCTCGACAGGGGTTTCCTTAGCAGGAGTTTCCGTAGTCTCTTCAGTCGAAGCATCAACAGCAGCCTGTTCGGTAACAGGCTCGTTAGAAGACTCCTGTTGGACAGGCTCCTCCTTGGCAACCTCTTCAGCGGTTTCCGTGACCTGTTCGGCGGGCTCCTCTGTCGGCTTCTCCGTGACCGGTGGCTCGGCGGTTTCGACGGTTGCCTCCGTAGGGTGTTCCTCTGCGGGCTCTGCAGTCTTTTCCTCTGTCTCAATCGAAGCTTCAGCTGCACCTTCAGTTGCCTTCTTTTCAGCAGGCTCTTCTGTCTTGGGCTCCTCAACCTTCTCCGTAGCAGGCTCTGCGTGCGTTTCTTCCGCAGATGGTTCAGTGGGCTCATCAGCAACTGGGGTCTCGGTGACAGGTTCGGTAGCCACCTCCGCTGTCTGTTCAGAAACGGTGTTCTCGGGGACAGATTCTTCGACCGGGGCTTCGGAAGGTTGAGGAGCGGCGGATTCCTCAGCGGGCTGCTCCACAGCGTCCTTGTCGGTAACGGATTCCTTGGCCTGCTCCTCGACAGGTGCAGATTCCACAGGGGCCTCTTCAGTGGTGGCCTTGTCCGTGGTTTCCGTGGCAGGCTCAGCAGTCGAGGGCTCCGGAGTAGATTCCTCCTTGGTCACTTCCTTCGAGGGCTCTTCGACGGTGGGCTCCACAGCAGGGGTCACCTCGGCGGGTTCTTCGGCCTTGACTTCCTCCTTGGCGACCTCCTGCGCAGGTTCCTCCGTAGCGGGCTCGGTAGCCGGAACCTCGGTGCTGGGCGCTTCCGCTGTTTCTTCCGTAACCGACTCCTTCGCAGGCTCTTCGGGAGCAGCCTCAGTGGCAGTCTCGGTAGCGGTAGTGTTCACCTCTTCCACTTCCTTTGTAGGCTCTTCTGCGGTAGATTCGGTAGTCGTCTCGGCGGCGGGGGTCTCCGGTTCCTTCGGTGCGGACTCTTCCTTGGGGGCCTCCTGCGTAGTAGCTTCTTCAACAGTAGACTCCGTCGGCTTCTCGGCGGCAGGTTCCTCACGGGCCGGTTCTTCAACAGCAGGTTCAGCAGCAACATCCTTGGCAGCAACCTCGGGGGTTATTCCCTCCACGACGGGCTGCTCTCCCGAAACCTCAGCCTGAGTCGATTCCTCCGCTGCGGGCTCTGGAGCAGACTCTGCCGGCTTCGACGTGACCTCCTCCGTAACCTCAGTGTGCTTAGGCTCTTCGGCGGCCTTTTCGGTGTCGGCGACCGTGGCACTCTCTGTCGAAGTCTCGGGTTGCTCCTCAGCCTTGACCTGGACGTCAGATTCAGGCTTCACCTCCTCGGTGACGGCGGGGGCAGCTGGAACCTCTTCCGCTTCCTTCGGTGCGGGCTGGCTCTCAGCAGGTGTTTCCGTCGCCTCGTCGGCCTTCGTCGTTGTAACGTCTTCGTGCTTGGAGTCGGAGGTTTGCTCGGCGGATTCCGTTCCGTTGACCTCATGTGCCGCGACACCGTTGGTGGCAGGCTCCGTCACTTCAGCATCCTTCTTTTCTTCCGGCTCGGGGACCGGCTCGGACTGCTTCTCCTCGACGACGGGTTCCTGTACGGGGGCAGCATGCTCAGCGGCCCCATTGACGCCGTTCTCTTTCGGCGCGGCTTCCTCGGTCTCTGCGGCGGCATCTCCGCTCGGTCCGACGGTGAGAAAGTTGTTCACCAGACCTCCTTCCCCTGCGGCTGTAGTTGCAAGTAAGTTTGTCAGCTTCAGATGGGTTGCGCGATGATGCAATGTCGGGGGAAAGAAGGTTCAAGCGTACCGTGTTTGACAGCCTCGTCGTGGAACCACGGGCCGGAAGCGCCCTCGCGGAATCTATATTGATATTGACCAGGCGACAGCTCCAACTCGCGGTAGAAAAGATATTCTGTCGAAACCAATCCCTCCTCATCCGGTTCGGTATCCACCATCTTGGAGCTCAGCTCGAGGGGCTCCCATTGCGGCTCGGAGAAAGTGCCGGCCACGAAGACGGGATCGTCAATCGGACGACGGACAGAGATTGTGACGGTCTCACCAGCGGGGTGGGCCATTGTGGTCATAAAAGGTCGTAACAGTCGTTAAGATGCAACAGACGCAAACAGAAGAAAAAGAGGAAGATAAATCTGTAAGACGCTGGACTCGACTAGGCTTTTTTGTTGTTGTTGTGATTTTCTGAGAGTCTTGGAGGTATCAAGACAAGAACAGACGACGGGCCACCGCAAGGATATCAATGGACTGGAAAAGCAATAATATACAGGCGATCAGGCGGCAAACGGCGTGGTAGGACAAGACAGTGCCCTCCCGAGGTGGAATTGAAAGGTGTATGAGGAGTAGTGAGGAGGTAAGGGGAGGGGGAGGATGTCTTGGAGGGGCAGCGGAGAGATGAGGATGAGATTGGAGGGGGGTGGGGAGAGATGGGAAGATGGGTTTGATAAGAATGACTCTTTTGTTTGGGGGTACAAACAAACAGCGGTGGATGATGAGAGAGGTAAAGTAGAGGTAAAGAGAAGATTGGGAAGAGAGAGGGGAAATTCTAATCAAAAGGTTGGAGAGGGAGAGATTGGGAGGAGGGGGAGGAGGAGGAGAAAAAAAAATTACTGGTAGGACGGAGCAGCGCCGTACGGACAAGACAGGACAGGACAGGAAAGACAAGAATAGCACCAGCAACCCAGTACCAGCACCCGTCAGTTACTTGCTTAGTAGTACTAGTAGTAAGTAGGTATCTAATTCTTCCCAGTAAATAATAATAATACTCTACGGTCCCCACGGAAGACCGATGGGGACCCAGGATGACTGACTATCTATCTAGTCCACTCCTTCTAGTGTAAGGATGGCCGTTAATTAGCCCGGTCAGTTGGCGGGGCAGCTGCAGTTGTCACAGTGATTTCCAGTTTTTTCCCCCTTCTGCCTAGTAAGGATTTGTTTTGATTTTGATTTTTTGGTTTGGGAGGGTCGCGCCATGATGCCATTGCCCGGGGACAACTACTTTTCTACCTATAGTTTTGATTTTTTCCTCACCCGCTCTTCGATGGGGGGGGCAAAGGAAGAGGTGGGTGTGGATGACCACTGATAATGGCACAATCAATGAGGGAGGGGGGAAACGGCAGAATTAGACCCAAGGTTAATACTAAAACCTACGAGGAGCGAGTTGCAAAAGCATGAATGATCAAGCCATATCAGACCGGAATGATTGCTTGGAAAAGCCGAGGCGCAGGCGTTGGTCCGGCTCCAATGAGAGGCCGTTCGCATTACAAGCGCCGCAGTCCGGAGAGGAAAAGAAAGAGAGGAATTATTGGCATCACATTCGCCGATCCTTTTCAAGCTAACGAGCGCCTGGGAAAGGGAAAAATGCGGTGAAGTGGTGTGGCTTTGAGGGCACCAATCATGCGAGGTGAGAAGAGAGACGATGAGAGACCTTGCGATGCAAGATAAGCCTGGACATGCGCCTTTCACAAGCTCTTACGGTTCGGAGGACTGGTGAGGGTACTACATATTCTTCCTGGAACATCTACTGCTGCTGCTGCTTACAATGCAGGTTTTGTTTGATGCAGGATGTAGTTGGGAACAGGATTTTCTCTGCTGCAGTTAGTTATCTTCTCCTGTTCTTCTTTTCTGCGACTGATTTTCCCCTATGATGTTCAGCGGAACGTTTGAACCAAAAGAAAAACAAAAGAAAGAAAAAATCCCTGATGGAGCGAGTGACTGACTGACTGGCCCGGCATAGTGGAGAACTCTCTTAGTACTAGAAAACTAAACTAGGCTGAATTAGTGGCACCACCGGCACCTCCACCCGCAGCTCGCCGAAAAGAAAAAGAAAAAGACCTTTTACTTTTTCGCAGGGCAACTCGGCACCGGCGGGAAAGCGTCCCGAATCAGAAGACAGGGAAAAAAAAGTCCATCAATATCAACAACAACAAAATACCCAGTACTAGCAGTATTTACTTCGCTCGTTTCTGGTTAAGCCACCTTTACCAATTTACCAATTATTGAAGGAGGAACTATACCAAAGTACCTCAAATCTGATCTAAACCTGATAGTTACCTGGGGAATAGATGGAGAGACAGATAGATCCGATCGCATCGAATCCCGCTGCACAGCATATGTAGGTCAATAAGTACCAGTCCAGTCCAGTCCAGTCCCCATTTGTTTTACACTTACATGTTCGCCTCCGCAATTCCCGGTGTTATGCTTTAGTCGCTGCATAACAAGAAGACATCATCATCAGCATCAACATCATCATACTTTTCCGGGTCGGAGGGTTGCCGGTTGCTGTGTTGGCAAAAGCGAAACCCGCAGTTCCTTCAGGTCAGGTGTATGATCTTCTCGTCCAGTAGAAGATAAGTATGTTGTAGTGCCCTGCAAGTTCAAGTTTCATTGCACCTACGAATAAGAAATCATATTGATAATTTCCTAAACCACCATTCGGTGGAAGGGAAAACGAATTGATCTGAACAACAGCATAACTAACTATTAATGAATACAATGAGTCATAAAACCACCTTTTCTCCTTTTTCCTATTTCATCCTCTCGATTCCTCCCTCCCCTATTGACCTCTCTCTCTCTCTCTCTCTCCCCCCATCCACTATCTATCCATAGTACTCCGTATATCCATCTACTCCATCAAATAGACTCGTATTGCTCAGTCCCTCCCCCTATCCAATAAACCCCCCATCTCCCCCCGGGCCTCGACTAAAACCAGCCAGACCAATTCCAATTCCATTATAAATCGCAGTGGAGCCCAAGTATCCCCTTCCCCCCAATTCCAGCCATGGAACCAGAAACCAGATCACGGCAATTACCAACTGAGTCATGACTGACTGGGCAACAAATAAAAAACAAAACATCTGTCGTCGTCATTCCTCATATTCTGACGTAGTTGGGTAACTTTTTTTCTTCCTGCATAGAAACAAAATATAGAGGTGATAATAAACAGTTCAACAGCGAGTAAGAAAAAGTGTAGTCTAGTCCGTAAACTCTATTTAGTTTTTATCTCTAGTACTTACAATGCTTCCCCCTCAGTTAGATTCATGATTGGTTGGGGATTTCTCGGAGTCCGCTTGCCCTCGTTCACATATCTGCGAGGAGATGGAGGAGCTCGAGCCTCGGGCAGCGAATCGAAGATGCCTTAGTGGCGCGGGATCGTCACATGGATCCTAGCAGTAATTCTCAAACTGAGGATCTACTATGTAGTAGATGCTTTTTGTATGTGGATTAGTCACTAAGTTGTTGGATGAATAAGTAAAAGTAAACAAACAATCAGAATAGCAGTTCACGGTACCAACTATGATGATCATAGTATCGTCTGAATGTTTATGAAACTTTACTATAAAGTGGTATGTACATGGAAGTAGTATTGTCAGTTTTCGGCTTTATGCTGTTCTGTTTAACGGCCGAGTTGGATTTGGTCGGTATAGTCTTCTCTTTCATCATGACATTCAGACTCATAGGCCGGGGCTTGTAATGCCAGAAATTAGAGGAATCGATCTCAATGAATGATCCCAATACTATACACTCAGATATATCTCTCTCCAGTAAATACTACAACCACCAAAGTGTTTTGCTGCATGTCCCGCTGCTTCGGTGAGAACACCACGTGAGAGCTTCTACGCATTGTTTACTTACTGAACATGCATCAGCTCTCATCACTACTCCTGCTTTGACAGCTATGACTTGCTGTCCACGTGACTAGCATTGTATATTATACCTTATATTATACTAAAACCTAGTCAGTGCCTAGCAGTCAGGTATACCACGTCTATCCTTCACTTGGGGTGCCTTCATTGTGTTTAGGAGGTCGAGATGTTCTAGATAGTAGAGGAAATTCAGGCAATATCCTCCGGTTCGGGTTCACGCATAATCGGATTCAGAGGCTTTGGTGGCCAGTCCCTAGAATAGTCCTTCCACTCGAAGGTCGCTGAGAACTTGTGACGCCCCGAACCCACCCAAAAGCCTCCGTCTTCACGAGAACCAACGGGCTGTGATAGCTTCTCTCGAGTTGGCAAGATTACACGCGCGCGAGAGTTAGGGGGTATCAACAGGTCCATGTGGAAGCGGTCTGCATCAGTCTCGATCGACCACCGGCATTCCAGTCGCCCATAAGGAGTGTCATACATGGCTTCAGCAGAGTGAATTGTAGGCCCAGGTGTCGGGGCGACCTGTATGTGTTTCCAGCCTGGGGCCAGAGGGCTGACGCCGGCTACAACGGAGTGCAGCCAGTTGATGATCGAACCCAGGGCGTAGTGGTTGAAGCTGGTCATTTCGCCAGGGTTGATGGACCCGTCGGGGAGCATGCTGTCCCACCTCTCCCACATGGTCGTCGCCCCCATGGTGATGGGATACATCCACGACGGACGAGATTTCTCTAGCAACATCCGGTAGGCGATCTGGGGATTTCCGCTCTTGGTGAGAGCATGCGTGATGATTGGAGTGCCCGCGAACCCGGTGGCGACGCGAAACTTGGCGAGCCGGACGAGGTGGACGAGACGTGATGCTGCTGCTTGCGCTGCTTCAGGGGTGGAGTGAAGGTCGTACACGATGGCAAGGCTAAGCGCCGTTTGGGTATCGCCGACTAGTAACCCAGTCGCCGTTATATACTTGGCCTGGAACCTCGCCTTGAGTCGATTATAGTCCGTCTTAAACCGTGCGGCATCCTGGCTCTGGCCGAGGACCTGGCTGATTTCGGACATCACCGAAGTGATGTGCACGAGATAGGCATCAGCAACGAGGGTTCCGCTGGTGCGTGCATCCCCAGGTTCCTCGGGCGGCGCTGTTGGGTCTAACCAGTCTCCCAGTTGCCAAAGCTCAGGGTCCCAGAGTCCATCTGAGCCGCGACGGATGCCGCGATCGATCCAGGCGAGCATGCTTTCATATTGACGGCGGAGAATTTCACTGTCCCCATACGACCGGTAGAGGGCCCAGGGCGTTAGGATCACCACATCATCCCATACAGCCTGCGGCGTATGCGGCCACAGGGTCTCACTAATGATATTGGGGACTGTAAATGGAGGCACGCAACCATCTTTCTCCCTCAGCTGCTCGGCCGCGACATCTT